TGTGTGTGTGTGTGTGTGTGTTGTGTATGTGTGTGTGTGTGTGTGTGTGTGTGCATGTATGTATGCCAAGATTTGTGCGCGTACACAGGCATTTCCTTATGTCGATGCAATGTTAATTCGGACAAGTATCTGTGTTTGTTTGTTTTTTGAATCCTTACACCTTATATACTCGTACAATTGCATCCGCGCAATACATAGACAAAGATGAATCTATTGCTCCCACATATAGACGTATACATATACGATACGCTTGTTCGCAGTTGCTCCCACATATAGACGTATACATATACGATACGCTTGTTCGCATGGATTTTCATGCTCGTGAAAATTTTGTTTCAATCTGCGTGGGTGCGCGAGAGCATAAGTCCGACAGGTGAATATAAACTTGCATATTTCTATACGTTACACTCGCGTGTCATCCATAGGTACGTCGCACTGTAAGTTGATGGGATTCTAACTGTACGTATTTGCATGCGTACGTCTGAATTTTGAAAATTATGGAAGACCCCCCTGCACATCATTTTTGGTACTGTATATACAAGTACAGTCCAGCAGTGTTATTACCTTCTGCAGAAAGCAGTCGCCTTTTCCTGTTTCTAGACAAGCTTTGTAGCGCCTCCTATCCTTTTTGCACTTGCTTTGTACCCTTTCATCCATCTTTAACAAAGGTATGTTTCGCCGATCACCACTCGACTCTCGCAGTGCAATTGAATAAATACAAGCCCCCCGCAAGACGCCTATGCGAGTATGTGGCTATGCCCCGCATTGCTTCATTTGATTTTGTGCGTATCGGATCGTAGGGTTTAGGGCTTTATATCCCTTGGATTTGGGGCTTTATGTCCCTTGGGTTTAAGGCTTTGTGTCCCTTGGGGCCAGGGCTCTATGTCTCTTGTCCCTTGTGTTTAGAACTTTATGTCCTTGGGTTTAGGGCTATATATCCCTTGGGTTTAGGACTTTATGTCGGGGTTTAGGACTGTATGTCCCTTCTTGGGTTTAGGGCACTTTGTGCCTTGGGTTTAGGGTTTTCTAACTAGACGCCCATCTTAACCTAAAAATATGAGGCTTCGTCATCAGCATCGTATGTATAAAAAAAGTATTTGTATATTTTTTTACATCCACTTATATAAATACAACCAAGCTCTATCTCAAAACAATCAACAAACGGCGAGGTTCTCAGAACGTCTCACGCTACCAATTGTTATCGAATTAATACTGTACAGAATTGTATTTCTCTATCTCGTAGCAATGCCTTCTGTAAGTGATGCGGATCAGCTGGACCGCAACAGATCTGTGGCAAAAGACCTGCTTCAACGGAAAGATGAAATGGAAGCAGAACTGAAGGGTTTGCATGAGGTATGCAGGTGTTTAAAATGGATTACGTACATGTATAATATTGTTTGTGCATATACAGGCGTATATAAAGTATAATATTGTTTGTGCATATACAGGCGTATATAAATTATAGATACTGCACATGCGTGAAAATATTCGTGCATTTATAAATTCTTGTTCAAATTTATGAACAGGGACACCTTGCTAGATTGTTCATAAGCTTGTATACGTGTTCAAATATCTATAAACAATCACACTCCAATGCATATAGACACTAACGTAGATATATATGTATGTATGTATGTATGTATGTATGTATGTATGTATGTACGTATGTATGTATGTATGTATGTATGTATGTATGTCTGTATATATATATATGTGTGTGTGTGTGTGTGTGTGTTGTGTGTGTGTGTGTTGTTGTTTTTTTTGTTGTATGTGTGTGTGTATGTGTGTGTGTGTC